ATAAATGACATACAGTTACATACGTATTACCAACATTCTACAATGTAAGCTTTATGGTACACCTCAAACAATGGATTTTATAGTAATTTAAAGTGTTAATATTAATTACCATGTAAATATTAATGGCTTGGGTATGAAGAGCATCCGCAGCATATGGACCGCACGCCCCTGATACACACACACACACACACACACACACACATACATATACATATGTATACACACACATTATATATATATATATATATATACACACACACACATAAATAATTACACACACACACATATATATATATATATATATATATATGTGTGTGTGTGTGTGTGTGTGTGTGTGTATATGTAAACATTATTATATCCTTCTATCTATTACCTATAATATTTCTTCAGATATTTGTCATGTTACTCCATTCAACTATGATCAACAATATTTCTAGCTTACGATTTGACAATTTGACATGGGTTTGAAATAATGCAGCATAAAAATCAGAAAACAGCTGAAAATATGGGCAATGCAGCAACCGCCTAGTTTCTTTTTGCACCACTAGCATGTGCTGCTGCCTGCCTGGACATGTGTTTGTCAATTTAACGTGGGTTCAGCCCAATGGAATCAGGTGAATGATAGCATAGCTTACTACACAACACTCCGTACCATTTTGATTCATCAGTGTGCACTGCACCAAATAAGCATAGCATCAACTGTGACTCTAATGAGTCTCTGCACAAACAGATGTACCCAAAGGACATTTGCTAAGTCTTAATTACAATCCTCTGACAAATCAGACGCCAAGGCGGTCTGGCTACCTTATAAACCCTTGCAAACACAATGAAGTACACTACAGTGTAAAGCAAGATTCCCCAAATGTTTATGCACATGTCCCAGTTATACCTTCTGAATATGGTTGATCAAAAAAACTCTATTACCTATGGGGGAAAAAACCCATGGACACTCATAAAACAAATTTGCAGCGATGCTCAGATGTGCAGATATGCCCTCTGATAGATTGCCCAAATCCATCTCTTAAATCTAAATACAGTGGTTTCCATGGTGACGGTGTCTTTGACTTTAATAGATGGTGATGTAGGTACCCCATTCATCTCTCTTGGGCCTCCTTTTTGGTCTCTCTCTCGCTCTCTCTCTCTCTCTGTGTGTGTGTGTGTGTGTGTGTGTGTGTGTGTGTGTGTGTGTGTGTGTGTGTGTGTGTGTGTGTGTGTGTGTGTGTGTGTGTGTGTGTGTGTGTGTGTGTGTGTGTGTGTGTGTGTGTATGTGTGTGTATGTGTGTGTGTGTGTGTGTGTGTGTGTGTGTGTGTGTGTGTGTGTGTGTGTGACACTCTCTTGATTTCTATCAGTGCTCACAGGTATCAGAGGTCTATGTCAGCAGGGACTATATTCCATTGCAAACCACTGACTGTGCTTTTGTGCAAACTTAAAGTATGGTAAATCAAACACTTTTGCATTCAGATAACTGATGAAAACTGAAAACAGTGTGTAGTTTTGTGATGTCACAATGAAATATATACAGATCTGGGCAAAGAGAGATATAAGGAAGAAGAGTTGTATGAGTAATAGTAGCCAGGATAAAGATATCCAGTGATTCAACATTTGGTGGACACCATCCACATCAACTAAGCATATTTGCTGACTTTTTCAATACAGTAGCAGAAACTGTACTCCCAACAAGATGTAGAGGAGACTGGGGGAAATGTGAGACACTAAAAGTTCTCAATCACGTTGGGATGAGACTTGTCTCTCTCTAACGGAGAAAAAGGAGTGCTCATGTTGTGAATTTTCCATATCACTGTAAAACGAAACAGTGAAATTAACTCAAATAAATGAGTTCATTTCACTCAAATATTACTGAAAGTTAATTGAATTTAACTGTTTTCCCGACATTGACTAGATTTTCCGGCAATCCATGTTTTCATTGTTATAGAGAAGGGAGTGCTATTGCGCATCTTCTGAAAGAGTACAGAATCTCCAGATCAAAACACAGACGAAGGAAAAGCAGAAACATGCGATAGAAGTATTATCAAATATCGTGATTATCAAACATTAAACAGCAGAAGAAAGAAAATCATACAGGTTTAGAACAACTTGAGGGTAAGTAAATGATAGAATGTTCATTTTTGGGTGAACTATCCCTTTAATTGTGTACAAGCAAAGGTATAGTGATAGTTTTTCTCATTATAAGTTTATTAATAGCACAGTTTTTTAATATGTAAATGTTTTGTACGCCAAAACAGACATTATAGTGATCTGAGAATTATGAAAGAAAATGTTAAAAGTGTTACAATTACCCATTGTTTCCCAATTCCCAATGTGGTGTTTTAATCAGTGAGGTGCATATTCAATCAATCAATCAATCAATCAATAGACAGAGCCCAGTTGTACTCTCCTTTTATGATCATTATGCCTCTAAATTGTGTAATTCATAAAGGGCATTGTGGACAATATGGCTGCAAATCATAGAAAACAAGCAGCATTCTTTAATTAGAATTAAGTTTTAGTTCCCCTGTCTTCTCTAACCTTGTCAAACTCTCTCAGCTCAGAGAAGCCTGTGAATTTAATATTCACTGAATAAAATCATTTCAACAGAGCCTGCTGTCAGTGCTACTGTAAATGCGTGAATTGTTCTTTCATATTTCTCAATAGTTAAATAAAGTGATATGTGATCATTTGGGGGGAAAAATAACGTGCCATGAATATTGAACACGCCATTGCATTATAGCACAACAGTGATGTGCAATTAATATCTTGTCAAGTAAAACAAAGGTCTTCAAAGCAATGGAGCAACGCATAAAAAGTCTCAATCTGAAACGATGCAGAGGAGTAATTACTCAGAACAAGCACTTTATGTCAAGGTCAATATAAACATTAGAACAAACAAGAAAAAATGACACAAAACAAACTGCCATTCAAGGTCCACAAGGCCTATTCTTCATTATGCAAATATATAAACTAAAGTTAGCCTGATTTAATGAGAGGATCAAAGAAACCCAATATCGACTCCAGCTCACTTATTCTGAGCTGCAGCAGAGATGCTCTTCCTTGGAGTCTCATCAAGCATGATTAAACAAAACTCGGAGACAGCGCTGTCGTCACACACGGATTAATTAACTGCACGTAGATAAATCCTGGGGATTTGTAACAGAGAGCATAACATAAAGTCTAGACTCTATAAGCTATTATCTGTTATGGTCCACAAGTTCATTGATCAACTGATTTTGAGGTGAGGTGGTTTCTGAGTGTTAAGCTAACCTTTTTTTTGTGGCCGTGTCTACACCAGAGAAATAGCTTGTATATGAAAGCTCTGTATCAAGTACAATGACAAGTAAAAAAAAAAAAAAAAGTTTTCTTAGCAGGACTTATTTTAAGGGATGAGCCGATATTAAATGCGCTGACACAATAAGCTGATAATTATTTTGTTGTGTATTATATTTTGTTATTCGATAAATGTTATGGCAGATAACCGATATATGGCTGATATTGAAATTCTATATTTTTAAAATTCTACAAATTTTTCTAAATAAATAGAAAAATACCCCCCCCCCCCCAAACCCCCAACCCCCAACCTAATAAACTATAAGATTAGGCTATAAGCTGCTAAGATTAGATTCCCCCAAAAAAAATCTTGAATGCATTGACACTATTTTGTGCAGTCACGCTTCACAACAAAACTTGCATCTGAAAATTATAACACTTCACACATCTTTTATCTGCTTATAATGTGCAAGAAAAATACACCCTCTTATCTTGTAACAAAAACAATATGTAAAGTAAAATCCTAAAAAATGACATAAACTACACTTAATATTAATCAATGCTATGACATTTTACAGATATTTCTCACATTCCAGGAATTTCACAAGAGAACTTTCCCATCAAATTACCATAACTACAAAGCAGCCAAGATCCTCAGGAAAGAGGGATTTGGGAAAACAAAATTCCATTGTTACAACTCGAACAAGACATGTAAAATCAAAACCTAAGGCGTGTTCTTTGTACTCTTTTTCGACAGCACAAATCTACTAAACCCATCAAACAGTCTGCGCATTTTAGTGCTCCAGGGATTCATTTCCTAAAGCAGAAACAGTAAAAAACGAGAGAACATATGAGAAGCTCTGAAGCTTTATGGATCCGTCTGTGTGATGCTCATGGGCTTTTTCCACTCATTTTCAAAGCATCATTTTAAAGCAACACAATGCTAAATAAAAGAGTGCCGTGTGCACCGAACGTGATAACGATAGAGTACTCTGAACGTAAATAACCAGTTACCTAAAAAACAAACTTTGTTTCCATTTAAAATATAGCACTGACTTTACTATTAATGTCAAAACTGTGATATGTGCAGCATGTAATATTGTATCCAGATGAATCAAACCAGGCAGTTCTGGAACTTTAATGACTGAATCACTAATCAAACTATCAGCGGAAATCAAACTTAACCACCAAGCGCCAAATACACTACATGTCTTATTTTATGGCACATTTAAATACCTCAGCTGTTAAATGTGAATAAAACTGATCAACATAAATACAATTGCTACAAAGTCAAAGCCCCACAGGATGTTCAATAAATCAACAGACTTGCTAAATAAAATGCAACTCTATTGGCACTGCGAAGCTGAAATTTCCTAACAGATGCATGAGATGCCAGCTGGTAATAAGTAAAAAAAAAAATCACGATTAATTTCCTGATTACAAGATGAGGCAGCTAGACAGCTAGAAACAGTTACTGTTACTCTGAGAAAGCCAGGAACCAGGACACAAATATAAGGTGTAAATAACAGCAGATCTGCAGTGCAGCACAAATCAGATTCTGACACCATCTAGTTTGCTCCTGCCAGATACAGAACGCATTAAGTCATTACCAAGAGCACAGCGATCCCATAAAGCTAATGAATTGCTTTCGATCCTCTCTGATCTCCATGACTATTACATTGATTTGGCACTCACGTCATCACTCCTTTGTATGTTGCATGGAACACCGAGGTCTTACCTTAGGATACTGCTGCACAGGGATCAGGACGCGCTCTGATAGCTTGATGTTTTTGTTGCTGATGATATCCAAGTATTTCTTCACCTCACCATCTTTCCTCAACTCGTCTCCTTCGAACTTTTCAATCTCTAAATGAAAGAAAAACAGTGTTGAGGTCAAATAATGTCAAGATTTGCCTTTGTGATGGATCGACCCAGAAAATCAGGAAAAAACTCCAAAAAAGGCTTTCAGATCTTCTCAGCTTCCAGTGGAACATTTATTAACAACAATTAAATAAACACTCAGCGTAGAACGTATCAACGCAACTTGACGGCGTAAGCCTACTAAGCCCTCATTCGCATGACAAACACAAATTGAAAAGCTGCTGCGCACAACTGTAATATTTTGTGCTTGAGGAATTTATGGTGCTTTTGAGAATTGAGCCGGAGACTTAGCAGCCACACAACATTAAAGAGGCTTGAAATGAAGCTGTCACCTGGCTTCCTCCAGGGAACCCCTTCTGTCGCTGCTAAATTAATGCTCAGCAGAATTGAGAATTATGAACCTGTACAACTCGTGTAAAACATGGAGCGAGAAAAGGAAGGGAAGGGAAGTCAGCAGGTGAAGGGAGACCATTATTTTTCACCTCCCCACTGGTGAGACTCTCAGCTGCTTATACCTGCAGAAAACCATATTGTTTCACTCTCACTTCTATGCATGTAGCAGCGAGGAATCAGTCTGAATTTCATCCCAATGCCTTTTCAAGTCCTGGAGCGTTTGGTGGTCTGATTGGGTCTCTTGTCCCCTTATACATTTAAAGGAAACTTTCTCTCTGTATGGTTGGTTCCTCTGTAATGATCGCAGAATGTTTTTGTTTTTTTTCTAAATAAACTGCTTATTGTCTTAAAGCTTTGCAATACATAGCTAGAAAACAATTATTTGCCAGTTACAATATAATCTTTTGGAATTATGTGCAAACACAGAGGATTAACCTAGGCGTCCTATCAGAGTAACCACAAGTGTAGGCCTAGTTCAGCACATTAACAATGAACATGTTTCACCAATCTTTGAAAATCAGAAGGTAGGCCAACTTTGTGCCTTTTAAAAATACCATTTTCAGCATATCGATAGATATCTCAACTTTTTTGACTCAAATGCCTCCTGTTGTCCAACCCAATATTCAAAGTTAAGTATTGAAAGATATTTCCAATATTAAGACAAAGTTGCTTGTTTTCAAACGTTTTATTGATATATCAAAATTAATTAACCAAGATTAATTTTGTGGTTCCAGAAGATAGCCTATGTTCTGTATAGCAGAATTGTTTTCAATAAAGAGAAAATAAAAATAAATTCAGTTTATCTTGATTTTATGTTTTTATTTTTAGCATTTTTTCATTTAGATTATTTTAACGTATTAAAAATAATTTATCAATTTAAATATCTGCGCGGCCCACTTGGAATTTTGCTAAGGCCCCCTAGTGGAACCCGGTCTCCTGGTTTCAGTCAGCCCCTGGTTAAGAACCACTGCTTTAAACCTAACCTATTTTCTCTTGAAGATCTTCTTTCTAACTCTCTAGCACTAACAAGAGTTCAGATCCCGGTTGAGGCGATCCATGAATTGGAGAGTTGCAGAGGTCGTGCCCTTACACTTACTCTCAGGCGGCTGTAAGTGACTAATAGCAAAGAATCTGCAAAAGGACAACAGCAAGAAAGGGTGCAGGGCTCCAGACTACCTTTTTTTACCAGGAGCGCTGTAGCCCCTGACTGAAAATTTTAGGAGCGCAAGCAGAAAATTTAGGGGCACACCTTAAATCAGCTTGCAATGCAATTATTCAAATTCCCCCCAAAATAACTGTAATACTGACAAATTCTTTAATAATAAATAGACTTAACGTACAGATATTACAATATGCAATTTTATTTTAAGTTCATAGGGCTCCAGACTAACATTTGAGGGCAGCATCACCAGAACAACTGAGTTCTACAAAAAAAGATCTGGTAGCACTGGGGCTGACAATAAAGCACTAAGCTTAATTTAGGATGTAGATGAAATTAACTTTAGTTATTATCATTCATAATCTTAATATTAATTAAAAAGCAAAAGCAAATACATGAAAAAATGTATATTAAGGAGTGAAAATAGCCAATAAACATTCTGTTTACAATGGTAATTTTTTAAATAAGTGTTTAAATAAGAGTTTTCCTACATCTTAAATTTTTTTTCGTTTTAGGACAATTTTTGAAGGATGAACAAAAAATGTGTTTGTCATCACATTAGAAATAACATTTATATACACTCACCTAAAGGATTATTAGGAACACCATACTAATACTGTGTTTGACCCCCTTTCGCCTTCAGAACTGCCTTAATTCTACGTGGCATTGATTCAACAAGGTGCTGAAAGCATTCTTTAGAAATGTTGGCCCATATTGATAGGATAGCATCGTGCAGTTGATGGAGATTTGTCGGATGCACATCCAGGGCACGAAGCTCCCGTTCCACCACATCCCAAAGGTGCTCTATTGGGTTGAGATCTGGTGACTGTGGGGGCCATTTTAGTACAGTGAACTCATTGTCATGTTCAAGAAACCAATTTGAAATGATTTGAGCTTTGTGACATGGTGCATTATCCTGCTGGAAGTAGCCATCAGAGGATGGGTACATGGTGGCCATAAAGGGATGGACATGGTCAGAAACAATGCTCAGGTAGGCCGTGGCATTTAAACGATGCCCAATTGGTACTAAGGGCCCTAAAGTGTGCCAAGAAAACATCCCCCACACCATTACACCACCACCACCAGCCTGCACAGTGGTAACAAGGCATGATGGATCCATGTTCTCATTCTGTTTACGCCAAATTCTGACTCTACCATCTGAATGTCTCAACAGAAATCGAGACTCATCAGACCAGGCAATATTTTTCCAGTCTTCAACTGTCCAATTTTGGTGAGCTCTTGCAAATTGTAGCCTCTTTTTCCTATTTGTAGGGGAGATGAGTGGTACCCGGTGGGGTCTTCTGCTGTTGTAGCCCATCCGCCTCAAGGTTGTGCGTGTTGTGGCTTCACAAATGCTTTGCTGCATACCTCGGTTGTAACGAGTGGTTATTTCAGTCAAAGTTGCTCTTCTATCAGCTTGAATCAGTCGGCCCATTCTCCTCTGACCTCTAGCATCAACAAGGCATTTTCGCCCACAGGACTGCCGCATACTGGATGTTTTTCCCTTTTCACACCATTCTTTGTAAACCCTAGAAATGGTTGTGCGTGAAAATCCCAGTAACTGAGCAGATTGTGAAATACTCAGACCGGCCCGTCTGGCACCAACAACCATGCCACGCTCAAAATTGCTTAAACCACCTTTCTTTCCCATTCTGACATTCAGTTTGGAGTTCAGGAGATTGTCTTGACCAGGACCACACCCCTAAATGCATTGAAGCAACTGCCATGTGATTGGTTGATTAGATAATTGCATTAATGAGAAATTGAACAGGTGTTCCTAATAATCGTTTAGGTGAGTGTATATATATATATATATATATATATATATTGAGAGAGACGTTCTAGTATGCTTCAGACATTTGTGATGGCTTGTATAATACAATATAGTCTCATAATGACCTAATCGATCTGGTATTATACTTGTATGTTCTCAAATTTCATTTAAAGTATTACTTAATTGGAATTTCATACTGTATTTCAATATCTTCATATTATTTGAGTTGCGGTTCTCATCCTAATGCTCATTTCTTGACCGTTTTTTAAAGTTCTTTACAAGTTACTTGTTTTGCTTATCTAGGTCTATTCAATTTTGTTTGTTTTTTCTTTCACTTCAATTTCCTTTCTTTTACTTCATGTCTTTATCTGTTGTTTCTTTAAATGCTAGAGGGCTAAGAAATCCCCAAAAAACAAAACAAAAACACATTTCTAACCGGCATGCATCTCGCGCTGATCGGTTCTGCGCAGATTTTGCTAATCTCAAACAAGCCTAGTGTCGCGTGATCGAGATCGGCCCGAGATCAGTCTTTAAACCCCTCAGATGTAAAGTTATTCGCTGTCAAAGTGACGCCAAAATGAATGGGAGTCAATGGAATGCTAACAGCAGGTGAAGGCTTGCTAGCCAATGGCGGCCCCCGGGGAGACTTCAGTTTCCGGCTGGTGGATTACCCCCTTGTGGATATCTATGCGCTGCGCTGTCTATTATTGGTCCGAACTAATAAACGGTCCGTGAAGCATAAATGAGGAGCGCATTTTCGTTCCGCTTTCATTTTGTTTGCATTCGCTGCTCGGCAACGAGTCGATAGATCGCTTGCTCATTGCTCAGACGGAGACGCACATAGCAGGTTGTGATATTTGTCTCCGTATCCTCCCTTTCTTTACTGTCTGTGTCTCCTTCCCACAGATGTTTACGCGCGCTCGATTATCTCTAGGACCCTCCCCCTGCACATATTAGCCACTTACAGTGGCCATTCCCTATTGAGAAAAAAAGTCAGAATTGTGAGATAAAAAAGTCGCAATTACCTTTTTAATTTTTAGTTTTGTGGGGGAAACAAGCCTCCATATTTCCAAATATGCCTAATTTTCAGCCTGGTTTGATTTCTTTCATGCCTCTCAGCTAGAGAAAAGAGTCGACAGGAAGAATGGCATCCTCAGGACAAACAAAAAAAAAGCTTCATAAACAATCATCAGAAGAAGGCAACTTTTACTTAAATCATGTCATTGTTTACTTTTGTGATAAAAATGTCACCCTTTCTTGCTGTTGTCCTTTTGCAGATTCTTTGCTATTAGTCACTTACAGCCGCCTGAGAGTAAGTGTAAGGGCACGACCTCTGCAACTCTCCAATTCATGGATCGCCTCAACCGGGATCTGAACTCTTGTTAGTGCTAGAGAGTTAGAAAGAAGATCTTCAAGAGAAAATAGGTTAGGTTTAAAGCAGTGGTTCTTAATCGTTGGCTGACTAAAACCAGGAGACCGGGTTCCACTAGGGGGCCTTAGCAAAATTCCAAGTGGGCCGCGCAGATATTTAAATTGATAAATTATTTTTAATATGTTAAAATAATCTAAATGAAAATGATGAGATAAAAAAAAGAATTGTGAGATGTAAACTCGCAATTGTGAGATAAAAAGTGGCAATTATCTTTTAAAATGTTTTAT